CTACAGGGTTCTAATCTACAGGGTTCTACTGTGCATGTTTCTACTCTACAGGGTTCTACTCTGCAAGGTTCTACTGTGCATGTTTCTACTCTACAAGGTTCTACTGTGCATTTTTCTACTCTACAGGGTTCTACTGTGCATGTTTCTACTCTACAAGGTTCTCCTGTGCATTTTTCTACTCTACAGGGTTCTACTCTCTGAACCTGAAAATCTGAACTCCATCTGATGCTGTGAGTGTCCTGATCAATCATGCAAGTCAGGACGTCCTCTAGTCTCAGCTGCAGGTATCCAACCTAAACGTGTGTGTGTGTGTGTGTGTGTGTGTGTGGTGTCCAAACACTGTTTATGAGGCTGGAAACCTGCAGCTGAGGATGATGATGATGATGAAATGTTTCTGAAACCTCGCATTTGAACAGAATCATCTTTCTGAGATTTTGGGTGTTGTCAGACACTGCAGGACCAAATGTGAACATATTACATTTAAATTAAATTTTTAAATACATCCCGGTCTGAAACCTACAGAGCTGAACTCAGATCAGAATCTTCTGACGTTTCTTCATGTTAGAAATATTATTTTACATTGTTATGAAATCCACCTACATCCAACTACAAACTTCAGTGTGAAGGTTTTTATTAGTGCAGCTCAAATATGGGACGATGCAGACCTGCTTTTGCTGCATATTTTAATCAGGCAACACTCATGTTTCATGCATGTGTCTACAGACCCTGATTCAGCTCGAGGGCACAGCTTTAGTCTGATATTCATGTTTAAATATTACCCGAGTTTTAGTGAAAGACCGTGGCCATGTTTCAAAAGCACATGTTTCTGATACATGAAGCTAAAACTTGACAACAACCATTATAAACCTTCAAACTTTGGACCCCGAAGCTTTTATGTAAATTAGAAACGGTGGAGCAGAAGGTCCTCGATGATCTGAGACTCACAAGAACCGATCAGGAACTTTCTGTTGCACTAAAATATATGAATGTCTAACCACAGGAGCTGTCGTGCTGGCTGTGGACACTGGATGGCGCTCTAATCTTTGTTCTGCTCCGTGTGTTTACTCTGTTTGGAAAATGTGATGCTGTGTGAGTCGAGCAGGTGTCGCCGTGCTGCTGTTACCTTCTGTGAAGGCCGTCTGGGAGCCGCCAGCACATGCACACCTGAGAAGGAGGGGGGAGAGAGCACGGTCAGGAGCAGAAGTATGTGGACACGTTCACTTTATGTTGGGTAGGATTGTTTAATGAAGCTGAAAACAAACTGCAACACACGTGAGTGTGAGAGAGAGAGAGTGAGAGGGTGAGTGAGAGGGTGAGTGAGAGAGAGAGTGAGAG